ACAGTTTTACATCTTACCCAGGACAAGGGGTCACCTCCACCCCATTGCCCCTGCCCTTACCTCCTGACGATGGACAAAGCAGCCTCTCAGCCTGATGTTACCACCTCCCTCCTGCAGCAAACTGCAGCCCAGCTTATATTCCTGGGTCCAAAATGGCTGTCCTCATCAGGCACTTGTCTGCTGCCAGTTTTCTACTCATAACGTGGCAGGCACCAAAGGTGCCCTGCCACAGTTACCTTTAACAAAAGACTTCTGGTTTTTAGTTGGCTGTTTTAAAATTAAAAAGTCTCTATACTGTTTAGATTAGTTTGGATAAAATGAAAAGATATACAAATCCTTTAGCAAAAGTGAAACGCAACTTCTTTTTTGATTACCCGCCAATCCTACAGGAAGGATCAAAATGCCAAGAACTGTCATGAAAGATGCTAATAAAAATTTTCCAGCTGGCAGTTAAGTTTCAGAACACATCAGTTGGTTTATTGTTACACTGGCTCCAAGAGATTATTCATCCTCCATTAGACACCAGTAGAAACTGGTGGAGACCTATAAAAGGTTACTGAGCCATGGAGTGGCAAGGCAGAAGACTTTTCTGAGAACAGTTGCAGACCTACATGGACAGTTACTCTCTGCGGAGCTGCATATATTCCGGATGAGAATAGGCTGCTTCTGCAAGCTGGGACCAGCGGCAGCACTGGGCTCTTTCTGGTACTGGGGGTGGGCGGCAGACTGCTCTTGTTCAGCGCACTGATCCAGGGGCACAGACCTGCCAGGAAAAGGCCAGCACAGCCCCACAGCCCTCCTGGGCTGCATGTAGCAGCAAGAGCCGCACCCCCTGCCCCGCACCCACTTACAGTTCCCTCTGCTTTGCTCCCTGCTGCAGCCCCAGGAGTGGCCGATGCCACCTGCCTGCAGTGCCAGATTTTTGGGAATTCCAGAATGTTGAGTGTCCGATTGATGGGATTATATTGTATACCATGTGCTGGCTATGGTCTGTTTTGAGGGAGAGGGGAGGAGGGAATCCCTGCTTGAGCAGGGAGTGGTGAGGGGTAGTGGGGTGGGGCGGGAGGAAGCCAGGCAGACACTGCTGTGCCTGCAGTCTCTGTCGGAGCTCCAGCCAGAGAGCAGAGGGAGGAGCCAGCTCTGCTGGGTTGAAGCAGAGAGCCCTGCGAAGAGCTGCAAAGCATCTGGAAAGCTGGGGGACTCTAAGTTAAACCAGGAAGGTGTCTGGGACAGACATTGCATAAACTAGTTTGACCCAAATTAGTTAACACATTCAACCAGGTTTATTGCAAACCAGTTGCAGCCATTTTCAAACTGGTGTATGTGCAATGAGCATCTATTCTGCTGCAGGTTTAGACCAGTTTCTCATCACTTAAACTGGTTTATGCGTAATGTGTGTCCTTAGCCCAGGTGTGCTTTGGGCCATAGGAAGTTTGCTTCTGGTGATGAGGTTGGTGTGGTTTGGTGCTTGTTTAAAGGCTAAGATGGGTGGTTCTGGAACAATCTCTTTAAGAGTTGTGTCTTCTTCTAGTATGGATTGAAATTGTTTGAGGATTTTCTGTATGAGGGAAGGACGGTCTGTCATAACTAATGGTGTATGATTTGTGGTAACTCTAGTGTCAGCCCTGGGGTTTATATGTGCCCAGGGCCCTGCCTCTTCCGGTCAGCTGACCGACAGCAGGTGCAGGCTAATTCCCTTAGGCCTGCTACCACAGTAACCTGCAGCTGTGGGGTTCCTGCCTGACTGCTAGGGCCCTCTCTCTAGCCAGTTTCTGCCCTTAAAGGAGCAGGCACCTTAGTGCCCTGTGACAGACACTTCCGTCTGCTCCAAAGCTCATCAAAGACAAGATAAGTTTTTTCATTGACTTTAGGGAAAAGCATTTGGACAGGTCTTTATTCTTTAGGAACAGCATGGAGATCACCAAAATCCTGACAGAGACCCCTGAGTAATGTGTCCTTATCTTTGTTGGCAGAATTACATTTACATATAAGTAGCATTTTTAAAAAATGGGTATTTAGATGTAATGCTCAAAACCAGCTACTGCTCACCTTAGAAAAGTAATTATAATAAAAAATGTGAATTCCAAAAGTCATTCTCATTTTGTACCTTATGTGTGTGTCATATTTAACCATTGCTTCTGGACACCACAGTGAAGCACGTGTATTTGGGATACTAAATCCCAAAATGGATGTGACATAGCTGCCTTACAGCAGTGCTGGTCTAAGAGAAACATCTGAGTCTGAGAGTTCATTTGTGTATACCCAGCTCTGCTAGATTTCAGGGATTAGGATATCCCCCAGCATAGTCCAGAGACAGTATGGACATGCTCAGTGTGATCAGACCCAATTCTTGCCTTCTGTGATATTTATTAAAGTGCTTGACCCTGCAAAGCTTGCTAGCCACCTATGTAACAACTCATCTCAATGTCTTGCATGGTTGCTGTATAATGAAGAGATTATTAAAAAGTCATAATTCATAGTACCTTTCCAAAAGAAATAAGCCTCCTAAGAGCTCAAACTAACTCGTGATGAAAAACTTCAAAGCAAGAATTTTGTCACATTAGCAAGGGAAAATGAGAACACAGAGAATAATATGAATAACAATTTCTAGTAGTTTGATTATTAATACAACATTTTAGGTACATCTCAAAATAACAGGGTAGCCCTTACTCCCTGTAGGGTGCTTTGTAAAAGGAAGTCAATGTGGCTTTGAGCTTGTCAATTATATAGTAAGGAACAACAAGACTGTCTCTTAGGAATCCACATATTATTTTATAGGCTAATGGATATATATCAATCTCTTTCTGTCTGACTGTCTGTCATATCTATCTATATCTGGGGCTTATAAAAGCTTGGGTATCTTTTACATAGATCAGTTTTGCAAAGTGGCTCAGAATGAAGCGGTAACCTGAAGCTGTGTGTATTTGTAGAGTTGTGTGTATTTTCTCTGTACCTCTAGTTTGTATTGGTGTCGATTAGAAATGCTGTTGCTCGCCCCCTCTCAGGATGAGGCATGTCTTGCAAATTATTAGAATATAAAAAGGACTCTGTTTTTTTCTTTCATTAACTTCAGTGGATGCCCCTGTCAGGCTGTATAAACCCTGTCCTGTCCTTTATTTCATTTACTAAAATTTCCATGAAGTCAACAGGAATATTGCACAAGAAATTAAGCAATTATGCACTTTGCTCCATAAAAAAAAAAATCAAATCAGCATTAGGAGCTTGAAAATGCCACTGACACTTTGTAAGCTTTCAGCAGCTAAGTAATATTTCTTGTTTATACCTTTGAAAATTCCTTCATAAGGACTTTCCCCCTTTATTTCTTCCATTGTGACTACTCTGTTGCAAAAATGTTTTTTTGTTATTCTTTGTATGGCGGGGCCTAATCCGGAGGAACGCTGAGAACTAGTAATGCCCCCACCCAAAATTAAGAATTGCTTATGCTCAGCACCTCTCAGGATTTGTTCCCCAGCTAATTGCACACTATATTACTTGCATTGATATGCATCTGGCATTTGGGAGTATAAAATAGCAGTAGTCACAGTAGAAATAATATCAATTAGTCATAGAGAAATAATAATTAGGAATATCTTGTAAAATGTTTGGCCACAGAATACAAAACAGATTAGAAGTTTTGCATTCTTTTCCATGGAAACAACTGCACAAACTAGAAAAGTAGAGGATCTCTTTATTTCCCTTCAGGGATTTCTATTGCTGTTTTTGAGGAACAGGATATAGAAATTGGATTGTTGTATGACAATTACAGCTTCCAAGAAGAAAATAAATCCAAATTGTTCTGTTGCAAATAAAGCTGAGTGAATAATTCATAGTGCATAATTCATCTGATGAATTTCACCCTCTTTTTCAAAGTAAATTGTCTGTGGGCAGCTTCCAATCCTCTCAAATGCATGTACTGTATTATCTGAAATTATTAACCATGAAAATGATCTATAGCTTGCATGTGAGCAATTCTTATAATTTAGAATTTTATATCTTAGATTTAGACTGTAATGGTTAGTCTAGATTGGGAACATAGGTCATGTCTTTGTTATGTTTCTATTCCCTTCCTAGATGAGTTTAACACTTCTTCAATCATATTTTTCACATAAAAAGCATGCAGGCAGAATACATTCTCTTCCTGTGAATTCTCTATTCGTTTGGAGCTTTGGA